GCAGAGAGGCAGGCAGAGAGAGAGGAGGAAGCAGGCTCCCTGCCTGCCTCTCTGCTTACTTGTGATTTCTCTCTGTCAAATAAATAAATAAAATCTTTAAAAAAAAAAAATAAAATAAAATAAAAAAAAATACACAGTCTTAAATTTCTCTACATAGAGGACTTTGCTTTCCTTCATTATATTTTCACTGTAACTCTAGTCCCCAGCAAAATGCCTATATAATTGGATACCCAACAAACATAACACTCCAGCAAGCATACAGGACACAGTTTGTTAATGTGCCAAATTATGTATAATTCCCTAAGGGAGTAGAATCATTAAATCCAGGCCACCAACTTTGAACAAATCACCTTTTTCTAAGATTTAGTTTTCTCTTTAAAATGAGAATGAATTAGATGATTTCTTAGATCTTTCCAGCTTTAATATTCTATAATTAGTATTTATAATGTCAGATATGAACTCATTTAGCTTTTATGAGCCAGCTTTAACTAAGCGTAGTAAGAAAAAAGGAGTGAAAAAGAGAGTGGAGGGGGAAAACACATGGAAAACAACAGAAGATATTACACAGTCGAGTACTAATTGGTGAAACAGAGGCTACTGGTAGAGCCCACAGGATGAGGGATTCTGGGAGGGGAAGCTGGAGGACGTTGGGGAAATTTTACACACACTATAAATTTTACACACACATACAGTGAGTTGGTTTTGTGAAGGAATGGGACTTGGAGGGATGGAGAGAGAGAGTAGATACAGAGATATAACGTATCTATGTCATGCTGCTGTTTTAGATGAACTCTTACTGAGCCTAATCATTGTTCTTAAACTCCTTACATGTACAAAGTTGGGTTATAGAATGGTGGAAGAAAATATGAGTTTAAAAAAGTCATTTTCGAGAGAAGAAGAATTCTACTTCACTTCTGTATATGAGTGTTTACTGTCAATTTCATAAAATGTCTTTATAAATTATGATAGAGAATTCACACACCATTAGTCCGCTTACATCTGAAGACAAACATTGTCACAGCCAGCTGATATGTTTGAAGAAATATTTCTGGAGCTTTGAGGGTTTAAAATAAGACTTCAGAAAACCTTTAACAATAGAAACATTCAGATTCAGGAAGAAGGAACTTGAAGGGGAAAGAAATGAATTCAGTAATATAACTAGAGCACCAGCCCCACCACAAATGGAGATGCTCTATGAGAAATGCCAACATCAAGATCTGCACGGAAAAGTCTGATCCATTTAAATGCAAGTGGTGCTTATTATCATTGCATTGAAAAACTCACGTTCGAGTTCCCTTTCCAAGGCAGACATCAAATGAGTTTAGGGAATGTTGGGTAAAAGACAGAAGAAGTATAAGAAAGGCTTACTTAAAAGAGGAGAGCAAAGATCCAAAGAATGCAGATGAAAAGAAAGAAAATTGGACAACCATTAATGTATTAATTCATTACTGTTCAATTCAAGAGTATACCATTCAAAAATCCAATTTACATATATTTCTAGTTACTTTATCAAAAGCTGTGGGGTCAAATGCAGAAAATAACCTGTCCTAAGATGGTTTATGAGGAGGTTGTTAATTAAGATCACTATATAAATTCCAGAAAGGGGCAATGGACCCCCCCAAAGCACACCTATGAAAAGGAAGCCATCCCTTCCAATATAGGAGAAGCCATGATCTCGGGCATGACAACAATGAGTTCACAAAAATCTATGTAACAAGAAGAGCTTTGGGTAACCTGCAGATGTCATTTTAAAATGAAAGTTTTTATGCATCAGTGAAATGCATAGGTCTATCAGTGACTTGTAAGCATTCCCAAATGGCCAATGACTATTGTTGAAGAGATGCAGATTTCAAATTGTGGGGTATTTTGCAAAATCATTAGGAATTGTATTTAAGACCAAGACAAATAGTAATTTTATACATCTTTAAACATGTCATCATTTTCATTCATGTATGAAATCTTTAAAATATATTTAGTTTGACATTTTTCCCATTTTGTGACATTTTTATAATCAGTTTCCTAAATGCCTACTTCTACTCATGCAAATATTAACACTATACTTCTCCCCAGTTTCTTATAATGGCCAGCAGCGTTCTGCACAATCTGATACTGCCTTTCTTTCCTCATCTCCTACCACTCTCCCTTTTGTGGACAGAGAAATTCACCCATTTCTTTCTGTTCCCCTACCATTCCCATCTCTTTCTTTCCCATCTGCATGGATGTGAGACCTGCGCAGCTGCAGGGATCCCACACTTGCAAGCTCCCTAAGTTTGGCTTAATGCACTGCTGTTGTCATCTTAGAAGTTATAAGACATTTCGAACAAGGAGTCCCACCTCTTCATGATACTCTGGGTACTTCAAATGACAGAGCTGGTGCTACCCATTGCCCTCTCCTTGTGGAACAGGCTTCATTTCTTTTTTTTAAGATTTTATTTATTTATTTGACAGACAGAGATCACAAGCAGGCAGAGAGGCAGACAGATAGAGAGAGAGGTGGAAGCAGGCTCCCTGCAGAGCAGAGAGCCCGTTGTGGGGCTTGATCCCAGGACACTGGGACCATGACCTGAGCCGAAGGCAGAGGCTTTAACCCACTGAGCCACCCAGGTGCCCCCAGGCTTCATTTTTTTATGTGCACACCAACCTCTTCCTCATCTCCAGACTTCTGTGTCTACTCTTTCTTCTCTGAAATATGTTTCTACTAGTTCTTCACACACCTGCTTCTTTCTCATCCTTCAATCTCAACTCAAATGTTAACTTCTTTGGCCAACTTTTCCCTGATTTCTTTATCTACAGTTCTTCCTCTAATCTTCTATCTTATTACCCATTTATTTCTAAAAGGCACCTACTATAATCTGTAATGATCTCATTTATTTGTTTCCTTGTCACACATTCCCTCCTCCTAAATGGAAAGTAGCAAGAGGGACAGTAATCTTGTCTATCCTGGTAGTACACTGATGAATTAGAGCTGAGAACAGTGTCTAACACAAGGTAAGTACTCAATATATATTTGTTGAGTGAATAAATATGTTAATCAGAGTAATAAATGGTGCTTCATCAATTTTCTTGGAGGATTTTTTCCTCATTAAAGTTATTATGCACTACAGGTATTCATCTATCATAATTCCTCAGCATTTTCTAGAGATTTCCTCTTTCAATATATGGGGTACCTATTTAGTTAAGACACCCAAGATTGTGAGATTTATATGTATATGTCTTATAAAAATTGTTTTTCTGTCAATTTATAATCCAAAAAGTAACTCAATTGCCTAAACCTAAAGAAAATGTACAGCTCTATGAATAAATTTTGGTTCACTATTTGGAAGGAGCTAAAAATAGCTCTAGACAGCAAATGAAGATAACTTCAGAAAAAATAGCTTTAAATCAAAGGAACAATAAGAATGAGTATCCAATGCAGTGCAGCTATAATAAAATGGGGATATTAATCAAATGCGGTAATAATGTAAAGTGGTATAAACATCTTTTGGAAATAAGTTGACCTGAAGAATTTGGGCCATAAAAATACTCAGATTTATTGACCAAGGTCATTTACTTCCAGTGTTTTATTCTATGGAAATGTAATTTATGCAGTATGGAGAAAGACCTATTTTCACAAAAATGAGTGTTGTTTATAATACCAGAAAATTTAAAATAAATATAAGTATCCAGATAAATTTGAGGGAGTGGCAAGATAAATTTAATTCACTCGATTAAATATTCTGTAACTAGGAAAATTACAAGGTGTGACAATGGGGAGAGCATTTACTATACCACATGTTCAGTGATTAGAGCAGGATCAAAATAACATAAATATAAGAATAAATCTAATCTGAACAAAATCAGAGATTTGATTTATTTTAATTGATTCAGAAGTTAAATTTATGAATTTTTTACTTTCTCTATTTTCTACTTTTTTGCTAATTTAAATATATTTAATTATGAAAATATATTTTAAATGTGTCTAAAAGAGATATGATTTCTTACACATAGTATCATTTTCAAAGCAGGCCAGTATGAGCTCTTATAGAGAGTTTGCTACTAAGAAAGTTAAGTTTAAAATCAAAACACAGAAGTAAACAAAATGCAATCCATAAATTTTTCTGAAAAAAGTATAATGTTAATGAATTCAACATAGATGTATTTGTTTAAAAGAAAACAAAAACACACCAAAAAATTTAGTTAAGCCATCTAAAAGTGATTTTTTCCATAAAAAATAGTAAAATAATAAAAATAATAAATAAATAAATAAATAAAATAATAAAAATAATTTAAAAACTGTAAATATACTGAATAAATTTGACTTTCGTTAATTCAAAAACAATATGCCATTTAAAAAACAAACAAGAAGGGTGCCTTGGTGGCTCAGTTGGTTAAGCATCCAACTCTTGATTTTGGTTCAGGTCATGTTCTCAGGGTCATGAGATCGAGCCCGGAGTCAGGCTCCCCACTGGGCATGGAGCCTGCTTAAAATTCTCCCTCTCCCTCTGTTCCCTTCCTCCCAAACAAACAAATAAAAACAAGCAAGCAAACAAACAAGAAGTGGCCCAGTACTCACAGGTATACAATATTCCACCATTGGGTAATGTAATTTGTGACCTTTTGCCGTTCGACCCGAAAAAAAGCAACTCTGGCAGACATCATAGTTAAAATGCTTTAGGCTTCTATACCTAGAGAGAAAAAAAGAAAATTGATTAGGTTGCATGCCTATTATTTAGTCCAAATCATTCATTTGTGGTAAGGAATGCCAGTCATCCAAATCATGATGGAAATAAAAGGTAGACTTGGCCACAAAATGTGGAATTTTCTTAGTATCTTAGCTCCAAATGAGGGCCAAGAGAATCTTGGATTTCACAAGGGAAATTAATGAACCCACCTCCCAAGTGGAAAAAAAAAAATTGGAGTTCAAGTCTCTAAAGCATGTTCCCATCGATTACAATATTGTGAGAAGACAAATATCCACATCAAAAGATTTTCTGTAATGTGTGAAAGGGATTGCAAATGGCCAAGAAGGAGAGTCGTATTTATTAGCTTGACACATCAAATTTTTAAGAAGCAATTACACCACCAATAAGAAATGAATTTCAAAATTCCCTGATATAAAGCTTCCTCTAGTCAGGGGAACAGCAGGGTTAATCAACTTAACAACAATCGTGGGCAGAAGTAGCACAAAGTGATCAGGTTACTTCTCACTAATTAAATGTCACTTTCTGCTTACTAAGTTTGACCCCAGAGGCCTTGCAACATCACCCAATTCCATCAGGGCCATATATGTATAATGAGTCAATTATCATGCATGAACATTTCTGGGATCTATGTAAATAGAAATTCAGAAAAATCTCTGCTTCTGGAGCAGAGTGGTATAAATAATAATAGTAGAATAAAATAAGCTTCATGGAGTAGCTATAAGAAGGAATGTCATTTTCAGACAGATGGAATATGTTAAGCATCCCATTTATGGGGGACACAAACCCCCAGTGAAAATCAGGGGGAAGGGATGATGGATATACGTTGAAATTGCAACAAAAGAACAGAAAACAGTCTCCTGCCACCAATGGCAACAGATCATCTCACCTGAACCCAACAATGGGACATTCCTTACAGATGTTACATTTAGCCTGGTGCTTTGCAGTCTCGGCCGCTGCCACTCGATGTAAAACAGGCAGCCAAACCATGGACTGTGGTTCCAGACGCATCCAGTCTATAAACTCTTTCACACTTATCTCTGGCTTATTGTTATTCTGGTAAAGAAACACATGTATTCAAAGTGAAGAAAAGCTCTTCATTTAAATTGCAGCAGGTGTTGCTTTATAATCTTCTGAAAATCTCTACAAAGTGAAAGTTCTAGAACTCTTTCCAGGTGAGTTAAAAATCACAAAATATTTAAGGTTCTTCATGGAGAGAAAATTTTAGAATTTAAAATTAGGAAAAGCAGAAATTATTCTATAGGAAGAAGAAAAAAATTCCAATACCTTAACAGACTCAGATTAAAAAAAACAAACAAAAAACCCAAGCCGTATGATTCTAGGTACTATTCTCACATAAATATTTTAAGCCTATAAAACTCATTCACCTAAGACAGTATAAATTTGACAAAGTAAAGACTCACTGGTAACTTCCCAAACTTGAAGGTCATGATAGTTGCTAAATAAAAACTGTTACTTCTGTGTCCTGCTCCACCTGTTACAACATCACACTGGGAATAAATTACTGTGAGTATACTTGGCAACATTTCCAAATTTATTGTGATTAATTGCATTAAATGTCTTAGTCTCTCTTTAGAACCTAATACTAATTTTCACATGTGCAAAGTTAAATTTGTAACAACATCCTTCTCCCACTTTTGTCAAGGTCACCCTATGAGCCAGTACATGGGAGAATCATATTTAGAATGCTCATTTGGTATTTTTTTTTGTATCTCTAAAACACGTAAAAGGGCCATTACAAAATGTAATAACTCATAACATCAATTCTCCTTAAAGAGATGGCATGAGCATTTTTTTTTTCCTCAGCAATAATAAATCACTGAAAATGCTCTGGCAAAATATCTGTAGCCCTTTCCTTTATGCATAACATGTAACGCCAGCAGTAACTCTTCTGGAACGCTTTTATATACAGCAAGCATTAAAAAGAATTTTGGGGTTTGTACAGAAGAAACAACACTAATAAATCGATTAGGTGACTCCATATGTAGTTACACTTTCGTGAGCATCACAGGAAGACAGAGGAGTTTCAGGAGAAGACAGACAGTGGGAGCACACAACCTCACCTGAAGGGCTCAGAAAAGGATTTTCAGAGAATGTGAGATTTAAGCAAAGATCAAAAGAAAGAATAAGGATCAGCAATGAGAATAGAGCTTGTAGGTAAAGGGTAGGAAAGACTATTCTAAACAGAGGGCACATGCCCAAAGGGGCTGGGGCAGGAATGAAGGAAGGCAAACTGCAGCTGAAAAGCAGACAGCAAAAGTGACCAAACCACAGGAATGGAAAAGCGCATTTTAGAGATGTGGGGTTTTCATGAGAGACTGTGGACTCTGGAAACAAACTGAGGGTTTTGGAGGGGAGGGGGGAAAGGGGATGGGGGGAGCCCGGTGATGGGCATTAAGGAGGGTACGTGTTGCATGGAGCACTGGGTGTTATACACAAACAATGAATCATGGAACATTACATCAAAAACTAATGATGTACTGTATGGTGGCTAACATAACAGAATAAAAAAATAAGATGTGGGGTTTTATCCACTGACAAGTAGTAAGTCTCCTTGAGGAGGCTGCTGTTCCTTGAACCAAATGTGCTTGAAGAAATAAAACAAAAATGTATTGGAATGGTACCAAGGTCTCCTACCATTTGGTTCCCCATTCCAATTCTCGGAACATCCTCCACACCACTCCTGACACGTTCTACGAGTCAGCGATCCTTCGCGTTTACCTGTTGGAAGCAGCTGCGAACACTGGGTTCGATATTACTGCCCCCGAACGCTGCTACTTCCCCTAGCTGCCGGGGAATCTGGATGGCATCATGAAGTAACAGGCCAAGCTGCCTCTGGTCACACATTTCTGTGGGCCCCGCCACTTCCTTAAAGAGATCTACAAGGAAGAGAACCACAAAGTTAATTTCCATCTGCTGAGACTATGCTTTTATGTAAACCACACCCTTGGTTTTGTCAGGTGAATGATGTAGACCAAAAAAAAAAAAAAAAAAAATCATGTGGACATGAATCACATTAGTTATCTAGGGAGAAATTTCATGTCAAAGTGATCCAGTTTCTTATAGAAATGAATACTTTTTGGAAAGGAATTTCCAAGTTCTAATAAATTAAAAAATCATACAAATTTTCAATGTTTTTCATGTGAAGTTTTATAAGAACAGAATAAAGGGGAGTAAATATTTATTTGATCTTGAAAACCATTTTCAAACAATATCTGGTAAATGGATATCAGATCAAAGTTTATAATTTTGGGGTTTTTTTTAAGATTTTATTTATTTATTTGGCAGAGAAAGATCTCAAGCGGGCAGAGAGGCAGGCAGAGAGAGAGAGGAAAGCAGGCTCCCCGCTGAGAGATAGCCCAATGTGGGGCTCGATCCCAGGACCCCAGGATCACGACCCGAGCCAAAGGCAGAGGCTTAACCCACTGAGCCAACCAGGCACCCCTCATTTTGGTTTATTTTTAAGGAAAATAATGCTACATCTAATAGTGCCAAGAGTGAATTTTCAAACAACTGAACCAAGCTCAGTGATAGTGACATAGTAATTATAACGAAATGTAACTTTAACTATAAGCATACATAGAAGAAGCAAATCCAAGTTAGATAAATTTAATTTTCATGATCATTTGTTCACTTAGATTTAGTTAGAGTTCCATTTGTTTCTTTTTCTTTTTTTTCTTCCCTTTTAAAAAATGTGAGTACAGGTGATACAATGTTACATTAGTTGCAGGTGTACAGCATAGTGACTCAACATTTCTATACATTGTGCTATGCTCACCACAAGTATAGTTAACCATCTGTCACCATACAATGCTGTTACAATACGACTGACTACATAAGCTCTGCTGTACCTTGTATTACTGATTTACTCATTCCATAACCAGAAACCTGCATCTCCCCTCTCCCCTTCACTCATTTTGCTCATGTCCTTACCCCTCTTCCCTTTGTTAAAAATAACACTATCGAAGCCACAGAATATTTATTCAGGACTCTTAGGATGCTCATTCTAAACCCATTCCTAGGAAGTAACCTCCTAGGTAATAATGCTTTACACAGAAAAGTACACATTTCAGTGACATCAATCATGCCAAACTTTCCTCTTTTGAGGAAGCCAACTATACTACTAATCCACAGTTAAGGTAAAACTACACGCAAAACACAAAAGAAAACATTCCTTAACACTTTGACATACTTCCGGATTCTGACAAAAGTTCTTATTTTCATATAATAGAAACAAAAAGGTCTATCAGGAGGTAGGGACAGGTCACAATCTAAAACTCAAGTTCTAACAAATCGGCACAGAAGAAAGACAAACGGGCCATTCTGAAGGATCTTTGTCAATGAGGAAGAAAGCCACTCGGCTATAAGCAAGAAGGTCCAGGGGTTGTTAGAACCTAATCAAGGGATATTCTCAAGAAGGCACGAAGAGTGAGGGAGATGTCCCCAGGGTAAGACACGGACATTAGCCATTGCAAAATCAATGTGCAGATGGTACCAGCTGATCCAGAATGGCACTTCTGACACTGAGTTTGGAGAGCAAATTGTCTTCAGTATTAATCTAACAAAGGAAATAATAATGAGGAAGTGTTCTGATATCACTGGAGAAATCAAAACTATAATCAGAGTTGCTAAGGACCTCACAATAAGAAATAAAACCAAACCCCAGAACATTTCCAGAATCGCAACATTCGCAGGAAAGATTTAAAGATTTTAAACCCAAGAGATGTCTTATTTAACTAAGTACTAAAATGGCATACTTCATGGATTAAGGTAAATATCAGAAATTTTTATTGCAGGGCCTCTACTTTCTTTGCCATCACCTAAAAGTTTAATGTGAAACAATACAGAGGACTAAATTTGATGACATTTGTAGAAAGAATTTCCACTGTATGATGGGTGTGTATCAGTATGCTGAAATAATGTTCCTCATCTGAAAGATTATACATTTCAGAAATATGTTTGAAGGTATGTGTACAGATAAAAGAAATCTTTATATACTGTATTGTGTAGAATCTAGTTTTTGCTCTTTATCTACAGTCACTGTGTTGTAACTCTTTCTTTTGGTCTCAGGTTACTCTCTGATAATCAGCTTGTAAAGAAAGGGAGGAGGAATCATTGATCTAGGAAAGCAGATCATGCTTACATTTTAAGATTCATGATAAACCACGGGATTGAATTCACACTTGTTTCAGAATAAGATGAGCACCGTGATATGACTGTTACTTTAGAGGAACCCTTAATTCTTCCAGGAGCACACAAAAACCCCAAACTATAAATAATTTTTAAAAAAGTCCTTTTCTTATAGTGCTACAGTGATGTTTTCATTAACATTTTCATCCCCGACACATTATAAAAAAATAAACTTTTTAGCTTTGGAAAGGATTATCTTTCAACAATTACAATGCTGAAGATGATTAAAGTTTTGGATAAATAAAGGACCACCTAACGAAAGCCTTCTACAAAGCTTTTTTTTTTCCCGTATGATTTACTAGGTTCTGACTCCATCAAGGTTCCTCACCTCCTGATCTTACCACAATCAGCTTTTTTTTTCACACAAATCCCACATCTCTTTTCACTGACATCCTTGTCAAACCATTTAAGAAAAATAAGCCATCATGATCTAGACCTGAAATTCACAGGCAAATCATCTCACAGACATCCCAGAAAACAAAAGGTTTTGAAAAAACATGTGTATGTTCACAGAAGATGCAAAACTTAACCTAGTTTGTAGGACCTGTGATCAAACATCGCCTTATTTTGGGTTACCTCAACTTTCATGAAATATCCCTCCAGAATGTATAATAGATTCAGTGAAGAATCATCGGGGATATGCATGGCAGATCAAGTCACCCACACTTTATGGACAAAATTAAATCAGAAAAACTTTCCAGTAGTTAAGAGTTTGGAGCCACACCAGCAAGTGTTACCATTGATTGAAGAGCTGTGATTTTTAGATATTTTTCCCGTATTATCTCTATTTGCTTTCAAAGCAAGGACTGTTAGTGTCATTCTTCAGCTGAAGGAAATCCGTTTCATTTCAGCTTTCTGAAATGTGAAATGGGAGTCACATCACCTCTTAGCTGGAGGTCTTCCATGGGATCAGGTAACCAGCACAAAGTCAGTCCCTCAGCCACTAAGTGGCAAAGCTGAGACTTGAAGATAGGTATCCTTGGCTCCCAAAATGCCAACACGCCTGCTCCTCATTAACTGACAGCTAAAAGGATACCACGGATTTATTTGGTGAATAAAAACAAATTTTTAAATTTTCTCACTTGGCAAAATATAATTATTTGCCAATGTCTGTCAGAGTTCTAGTCCCATCTAGTTTTTTTGGGGGAGGGGGGGTGTTCTTGTTTTCGTTTTTGTTTTGGTATTTAGAAGTACACAAGGTTCCAGCATAAAGAATAGCATGAAGGTTCTAGTCCATCTTAATTTTTTTTTCAAGCACTGGAAGTACAGAGAGACAGAAACTTTGGCTTTACATTCAGAACAATCTATGATCTAAGTCTACCCTCATAATTTATTGTGTCTGCAGCCACTGACTAGATTTTTAATCCACCTCAGAATTCATTTTTTTTCAGCTGGAAAACAGAAGTCACAACGCCTACATTCTGAGGTGATTCTTCTAAGGCTCGAATGAGATACAAGTGCAGTTGGTTCAAACTCCAACAAGCACCTCACCTCATTTCACACAAATCTGTGTCACTTCTCACTGACACCCTTTGTCTAGCCTGGGACGTGTGTAGTAAGGGGCAAAAAGAATAGAAACTGTTATTACAAGCAAATCATATAAAGGAAGCCTCCAATCAATTATTATTATTACTAAAAACACTACTGCACAGGAAAGGTCTTACATACATCTGTATTTTTCTTCTAAGAGACCTTTGGAGAGAGACATCAATCCAATCTTCAGACTCTGCACTCTTATTTTTCCAGTTCGACCCCTGTAATTATAAGAATCCCAATGTGTTAGATGCACTTAAAGCTGTATACAGGACACTAATGATCTCTGAATACCTATTTTCTTCAGGTAAACTATTAGAAAATGATTGCATCTTAAAGAGGCAACTTTTCTATTCCCTTTTAAAAATTAATTTTAAACTCATACCATAATTTCATGACATGGTTTAACAGCATGCTTGACCCAGAGTATATAGCCCAAAGTCACTTACATGGAACACAGGAACTAGGAAGAACAAGTAAAAGTGAAAGTAAAATGATAATTACAAAGCTAAAAAGATATTTTTAGAAATAGTATGAATTAAAATCTGTTAATGATTACAAATGCAAGATTTAAAATGTATAGCTAAGATATAATATGTATGTTGCTTAATATAGCAAGAAAGGTATAATAAAATCAAATGTACAAAAACTAGAAAATCAAGTATACCAAGGGGTAATAACTTGCTAGATATTTAAAAACCTCTTGTCTTCATTGATTTTGGTCTCTGTCAATTCAGTTTTTTAAAATTATTACTGTAATTATAATGGTCGGTGATCCTAAAAAGACAGGTATGACATCCCTATTTGGAGAAGTCTCAAATTATAATTAAATACAAAATGTATTAATTAGTCAACACTAGGAAATAGCTTTGTACTATGCCAATGAGAAACTGTAAGTTGACTAGAAGAAAATTTTTAACTTTAAAAGCATCTCTATGCTTGTCTTTATTCTTGTCATTTATCAAAGAGTTTCTGAGTTGCCTACCAAATGTACCAATGTAATAGAGCCTGGGGCTGAAGAATGGGAAATGCAGAAATGACAAAAATGGGTAACATGATCCTTGCTATGGAATAACACACAATCCAGAAAAAAAGTCTTTATCATCTTTATTATTTCATATTCAGGATTTGCTTTCAGTTTTGGTTTTTAACATTAATTTTTCTCAAGCTATGTTTTTAATACACAAGTACAGTATACTCAATACCTATTAACTAAATGTCTATGTAACTTTATCATTATATACAATTTAGTAATTCATGCTATCTAAAAAACAGATAAATATTTATATCATTTAATTTTAATTTTAGGTGGTCTTATTGTCAAACTGTGTTTAAATCTTGTTCTTATTGATATTCCTACTATGAATACTAATTGATAACTTCTATTCTCAAATTATAAAAACTCAGGTAAGTTTCTGTGTATATACCATGACATTTAAAGTATAAGTAAAAAAGAAAAACATGCTGAGAGATCAGTGAAATGTATTTTCAAAACAGTCCCTCAATAGTCTAGAGTTTATTATAACCTATATTAAATCATATACAATAAACTTACTAAAAACCCTTCATAGGCATGTGTACAACATTCAGAAGTGACCTGTGGAATAACTAATACTTAAATTTTCAAACAGATATAGCCATTATAAGCAGAAATCTAAGTTAACGTACTCATTCCAGTTTCTTGCCATTATAGAAATACTTCCAAATTAACCTTAAACTGAGCCATGTTATAAATTGTGTTTCTAGTTCACATTATTTTTAGGTGTTTCCTAATTAACACTCCAAAATACACTACATCTGTTTTCTTCCCTCCAAAAATTTGGAAATTTTATTCTCTGGATAATCAGACAATAGATCTGCAGAGGAAAACGGCTGGTGAGTACACCAGGACATGAATGCGGCCAAGGACAAAGGAAGACCTTAAGAGAATAAAGATCAAAATGCTATGTATTAGAGAATGACCTCCAGACTACAGTGATGACACAAGAAAGGAACGTCATCAGGAAGGCTACATCCATTCAACACACCATTTAATCGTTATGAAGATTTCCTGTGATCTCAGTGTTGTTCTGTGTACCATGAGGCCCAGCAGAAACGTTTAAGACATAATTCCCACCCATGATAAGGTCACACACAGCTAGAGAAGAGAGACAAGAAAACAGTGGGAAATACACAAGAAAATAGGAGAGCAACCTTTGGGCATGAAAATAAGTACAAGAAAGTTGTGGCTGACTTGTTATTTCTGACTGACAATTAGTCTGAGTAGTTATTAGTCTCATAACATTTGATAGAGAAGATAAGACTCAAATCAGACACTGAAGGTATGACAGGCTGGACTGTCCCTAGGAGAATGTAGATTATCACAGGAAAAGCCTAGGCAAGGGGACAGAAGCAGGAGTGGGAACACCAAAGACACGATGCATTCAGGTGCAGGAAAGGCTTGCATCAAGGCTAAACAGTTGATAAAGTTGTCCAAGTTATATCATCTGGGCCCGGATGATAGGACTTTAATGTTAAATAAGATATCTAGATTTGAAAAAGAAGAGGGAGGTAAAGAAATTTATTAGTGAGTGACATAACCCAATATTTAAGTATTTGGTTCCCTGGTAGTCTTCATAAGTAACTCCTGAAATTAGTTTAACTGGACAGATATGTATCTTATAAAACTATATCCATCTTGGCACAGTGGAAAAATGACTTAACACTGCAGCAAATGAGGTTAATATTTTCTGGAGGGACAAAAATATTTAAATCAAGTGTCCCAGACTATTGCTTTAAATCATGATTTAAACATTTTTGATTTCTATTAAATTTAGAAGGAAGATCGTGGAGTTAAGACTTTTTAACCTGGAAAGATGAAGACTGAGTGAGGCTGTGAACTCATAAATGGAATAAATTTTATCTTTACAGTTTAGAAAGTTCTTTCTACATATATTAGCTCATTTGCCCTTCACAAATATCTTATGTATGGTAAGCAGAGCAGATATTTTTATCTCAATTTTTCAGATGAGAAATTGAGATGCCAAAAGTTGAGCGGCTGCCAAGGTACAAAGCAACCAGAACCAAAAATTTGGATTCTCATCATTCATAACAGAAGAAAATAGATTTTTTTTTGGCAAAAACCCAAAATATTAAGAGTTGGATACATGTTAAAACTTGAAAAACAAATAGTAAATTTAATATAACTTATAAAGTACTCTTTTTCTTAGATATGGCAATATGGTAGAAATAAACCCTGGGTATTAATTCCCTATCTACCACTAATATGCAATAGGTGGCTATAGATAAATTCTTTTATCTCCCTGGGTCAATTAATTGATCAGTAAAACAAAGAGGTCAGAGTAAAATGAAGAGGGAAGAATGGACAATGGAAGGTCCTCAAAGTCCTTTTCCTTCTAGAATTCTATGATCTCACATGTGTGAATCACTCATTACTTCAAGAGCTGCTTGAATATACTTCAAGAGCTGAAAATACCCGCTTTGGCTGTATCATATTACATAAAGTAAGGCAGTCAGAAATATATGGTTAATGAGCAAATATCAAAATAGCTGAATGAATGGAAACATTAGATCATGGTTCTCATTTCCAAGGTTCAGAGACTTCTTAGGGTCCAAAAATGTTCTAGCGCATTGGATCATGTAGCTTATAGTTCCATCAGATTCTTAAAGAAAACTAAAAACTTAAAAAGAGTTAATAACTCTTGTTTACATTAGTGGATAAATTACAGTTGTTAGAGAAATTTGGGCAATGAACTCTGGCCATCTGAGACTGCCATTGTATGATTAACTGTGTTTTTTTAGGTTAATTCATGAAATTCCTCTCTAAGATAGAAAACTAGACTGAATGTTTACACCATTCTGGCCCAGCATGGTCTTCACTGTATTTCTTTGGCATGGAAGGGAAATAAATCCTGAAAGCTTTTATTCCTTTAAAATGGAAAATTTCAAGAAACTCTTTTTCTAAATAAGAAACAGTACCTTAGTGTAGCATTTCCCATGTGTTCACATTTGATGATGGAAAGTGGAAATATGCCAACATTTGATTCCCTAGAATATGAATCACAACATTTCACATTCTGCTTCCTTCACAACGAAGTGGCACTATTCCCTTCGGCTGTCCAGTGAAAACAGCAGATGTAGGTGTTACATGTTATGAGTTAGATCTTCCTAAAATTCATGTGTTGAAGTTTTAACCACTTAGTACTTCAGAATGTGACTGTGTTTGAAGATTGAGTCTTTAGAGAGGTAATTAACATAAAACAAGGCCATAGGGTGGGTCCCAATCCAATAGGATTGATGTTTTTATAAGATTAGGACACAAACACACACAGAAGAAAGACCATGTGAAGACACAGGGAGAAGACCGCCACCTGTAAGCCAAGGAGAGAGGCCTCAGAAGAAACCAACCCTGCCGACATGTTGATCTGAGACTTCTAGTGTCCAGAACTGTAAGAAAATAAATTTCTGTTTTTTAAACTACCTAGTTTGTGGTACTCTGTTATGGCAGCCCTAGCAAACTAATGTAGTGTATTAGAACGAGAGGAGGATGATTTAACCCCTCTCCAGTTCTTCCTGAAATTATTACTCAAAACATGTGTCTCTACCATACCCCTGTGGTGTTTATCAAAGTTCTCAGCTAAGTATTCTAGGAATTCAGCATTCTTTTTGGGTCCTCAAATTAAGTTATAGGCTTTGTAGTTAAAATACCCAACTGACCAGAGATTTTGGTGAATTTACTATATGGAAAATGTCTCTTTTGGGGGTTTAAAAAAATTGAAGATCAACTAAATAGTGAATTAATGCTAACAGTCATATTTTACCCTAGAAGGATAAAAAAGAACAAAATGAAATTTATTAAAAGATGCTACATAGGGATATTGTAAATCCCACATTCATTATTATTACTGATGTTTGTGCCACTTGTTTTTTAGTGAGTTTCTTAAGAGTCCTCAAGCATATAATGGCTATTTAATTATTTTAAAAAAAAGTTTTGTTGTGATATTTGTGACTATTGAAAGATAACAAATTTTTCTAATCAAAAAAACAAACTTTTAATTAAAGCACCCCTAAAGCTATTGTTGTCACCATTTACTTCTTATGCGAAATCAATCCACTGCTAAACACATGTACATTTATAAACTATCATCTATCTTCTTCCTCTCTAAATCAAATAAAGCGATGACAAATACAAATTTTCATGCAGCTAATTAACGGAAAATAACTTTAAGGTTCTGAGAGAAAAACCAACAGTTCTCATTTTCTTCTTTCATCTTTGCATATTTTAACCCCCTACCAGAAGAATGAATAATTCCTAATGTTTTGGAAATGTCAGCCCACAGCAGGTCTTTCTAGAATTGATTATTTCACAAATGCACTGTCATATTCAAAACAGCCAAATTAATGGCGAATGAGTTATGCTGGAAGTTGAGAGAGCTCTTCACGTGACAGTGAGCATCTAATTAAATTACAGATATGATAGTGTCCTATAGCATAAATTATTTAAAACACCACATATACACAATACCACCATTATAATAAATAAAGCTAATACCGAACGACAAATTAAATCCCTTTAATTGCCTTTCAAATTGCTCTTAAGTTGTCATACAAAAATTGCAGTGTGGATTATTACGAGCCAGTCAATGACTGTAACTCCTAACAACAAAAATAAGACTTTGTCTTTCAAAAGAAGAAAGGAGGAAATAGGACTTATATTATATTGGGCTTCCCCCTAGCCAATGTGACACTATAAATCCGACAGCATTTATAAACTGAAGCATTATCTTGAAATAATAGGTAGATATTCTTTTTTGTTATATTGTTGGTAGAGAGTTCAAATTTTGGACAGTCCTTCCTTTCAGCAATTAACCAGGGGTGAGGAGAAAGGGACTTCTGTATATAAGCATCAAAGGTGTGGACGGAATTCAGGGAACGTAACGGTGTCTGAATGGAGTAGGTTATGAGCTATTTGTCCATGAGGAAAAGTACTTTGAAAGCACTTCTTAAAAAACTCATTTCAAAATTTAGACATTTGGCCTTACCAATACATTTCATTCAATGACTACATTTTAAGGAGAAACAAGACAAACTTACGTGTCATATACATTGAGCAACCAGTTGAGACACATATCCACACAGAGCGGAACGTTGACCAGATCCTTGTGCATTTGTTCAAGGCCGTCGTAGGTTGTCGTCAGACAGTTGATGACATCTGGAACGCTAAGCAGCTGATCATTTTGGTTCAGTTTATGCTGCTTGAAAACTTCATTTGTTGTGTTCAGTTCTAAGAGATCCACTAATCAGGTGAGAGAAAGGAATACACACAGTCATTAGATTACATAACGACGCTGAAACAAAGACATTTCTCATCTTAAAAGTATTTGGCTTGATTCTCCAGCTTAAGAATCTATCCTTTCCAGCCAATTTCAATGTTTAAAGAAATAAATAGCATTTCCATTCTTACATGTCTAAACTCTTATCCATAATCTCTTTATTTTTGTGCTTTTGAATCTAAACTCTGTTACTTTCCAATCTGATCCCATTTTTTTGCTCTTTGGTCTATCAGTTCTTCCTACTTTCCTTTTCAGGCTTTCCTCTCTTCAGGCTCTTTCTACTTTTAAATATAGGAAGGCATAAATAAATCTAGTCCACATAGTAGAACATCTAAAATACGGCACCGCTCTTCTAACTCCTGAGAACAGCCTGCTCACCTCCTCCCAGTCTCCCTTTACACCACAGCCAAACCAATCATTCTGTTTCTCAACATGTACATCAGGACATACAAAATTCACTGAAAATGTGCAGTTGAAAAAATGGGTTCTGTCGAAGAAAAAGTAGTTCTCTACTGCCTGCTGAACAAACCTGATCTAGAATGCCCTCCCAATCTGGCCCTAACGTGGTTTGCTTCCCATGATGCTTTGGCACAGAGGCCATTTTAGCTACGTGGGATTTGCAGAGGTCCATAGTACAGGCCCACATGCACGGGCCTTCATGTATCTGCTCCCACTTTTATGCTTCATGGTCAGAACGTCTACCGTGCGACTGGCCTATGCTAGATGCTAGAGCAGGGTGGGCACAGAAGGATAAGCTGGGACCCCTGCTCTCAAAGACGGCCAGTCAGAGAAGGAGGGTGAGCATACTGATAACTTTACCAAAAGGAGTGAAAATGCAATAAGAATAAATAGATTTCTATAAGAGCTATAACCACAGGGGAGTAGAAGGAGTTTAGAAAGGGTTTCCTAGGCAGGTAGGATTTGAAATGGGCCTTAAAGACTAGAAGACACAAGAGACCATGTAAAGCTAGGAAAAAAATTCCAGGAAGATAGAACTGCTTGGAAAAAGACAAGAATTCAAGAAGTCTACAGGGTTCTCAAAAATGACAAGGGCAGTATGGATGGTCCGTGGCTTACACAGGGGTGGCACTGGTTACATGAGGCAGACACTTGGTTCTCAGGGACAGGCATACGTTGCCCTAGGGGAGATCCTCAAGGGCCAGGAGGAAGAGTTGAGACAAAACAACAACAACAACAACAACAACAACAACAAAAAACCCTCACATAATCTTTCTTTTTAATCAACTTTGAGTCATTCATTAGCTAATTGAAAACAGGGCACCAGTAGATTATCAAATTACCATGTGTCTATACATTTATTGAGTATAGAAATGACTCTTATAAACCCTTATCTAAAAGATAGGGGTTTGGAAAATTATAGAACCTGTATGAATTTAAGGTCTGCTCATTGAAATTCCTGCTTCATAAAATGCTTTCCCTATCTCCCTATTTAACTTTTAAAAAAGAGATGTATTTATTTTTTATTTTAGAGAGAGAGAAGGAGAGCACAAGCAGGGGAGAGGCAGAGGAAGAGAGAGAATCCTCAAACAGACCCCCCCACTGATCACACACTTGGGGCTGGATCCCAGAACCCTGAGATCATGACCTGAGCCAAAATCAAGAGTCAGACACTCAACAAACTGAGCCACCCAGATGCCCCACCATATTTAACTTTTTAACATTAAAAGAAATAAGCTCAGGGGAACTTTTTATTTTAATATAACCAACTATTTCCTCCTTGTCTCATGTAAAACTATCTCCTCAAAAAATATAATGACATATTTTGACAGTTAAATAAAATGAATGAATAGCTTCCTTTGTATTTATCTATTTTTAACCACTGAATAAGCACTAGTTTTGAATTTTTTAAAGACATTCATGAAATGTGTCCACTCTTGCTGCTTAAATACCATAGAATGATTTATTTTTTTCAAGTTACTTATAATAGAAAAGAACTGCTTTAAAAAATTATACAGAATAAAATTATTTCCAGAACAACTCAACACAGAAGACTTTATTTAAAAAAGAGAAAGAGACAAATAGAAAACACAAGTCTGGATAACAGGTCAATCCCTCTCCTTCTGATGTCAAAGTCAGCATTGGTAAAATTTGAGCTAATTGCAAAAATAACTCATGTAAGCTTCACAGGAGTGAGAGACAGTATCAGAAAAAAAAAATTAAGAACCATCTGGAATCTTCAATATCATTTGTACCCTACTTCTTGGCACTGTACGCTGTTTTCAATTATAAACTTCCAGAGGGCAGGAGGAAAATTCAAACTCCTCCCTCATGGTGCTTGACAAAGAGAAGTGCTTCATGATGGTGGCAATAGAACTATAATTCCACACAGACACAAAGAAACATATTCAAATACTGCCAAAATGCTCTAAGTTTTCTGAATTCCAACACTAATTACGCCAGCAACTCAGCACTGCTATTGTATCCACACATGGCAGAAAGTGACAACAGACCAAATTCCAAAAGGACCATTTCCTGGATCACGCTGCCCTTGCATTGCTTCTAGAACAGCCTCCTCTGTGATACACTTTGTGGCTATGACAGTAATTTGTCACATCCCACAGACACTCATGTCTTTAATTTTTAGTGATTTACTTTGACACTTCGCCTTTCCTGCAAAGTGTCACGTTTAGGTTCCTTTAAAAAACTGACTACATTTAAATCAGAGAAAATTATGATTTTCTCTTTTCAAAGGGAGACAAATGACAGCTCAGTCATGTGGCAAATGAAACAAACAGCAGAATCATTTTCTAACCAACGTTCAGGCTTTTTCTTCAATCCCACATATGAGGCACAGGGGATCGAATGGAAGTGGGTCATTATTCTCCCGTTCTGCAAAACCACAGTTTGGCACCTGACCTTGGGCTTCTGTAACTCCTAGGTTCTTGAACTGTTTGACCATTCCTTCTGAACACCTCTCCTACCTCCTCTTCTCCAGACACCTCAGAAATAAGCTCAAGGTCTTGCATCTATGCCCCTTCCCTCTGTGAACCTGATCCCCTCACTGTCAATACTTCAGGCCTCCCTTCTCTCTGGATGGCTCCCAATTCTGTTTTCTCGTGCCCATCTTCTGCCTGAAACCTGACCCACTTCCCCGCTGTTCTGTTCCCAAACAGAACTCTCCCATTCTGTTTCAGGGACATTCACCTTAATATATTCCAAATAAAGGTCTTCTTATGTTGCAATCCAGTCATGGTCTTATCACCTTCTATGGACCAGGAGTCTGCAAATCCTGAAATGTGCTAACACTGTCCTCCCTTCACTTTCTGCCAGTTGTCAACTAGCAAATACCCCACCCCCCCCCCAGTCATCAGTTCTTCCTCCTCCTTACAAATCCATACCCTCTTCTCCCCTGTGACCACTACCCGTCAGTTTAGCCCCCATGATCTTTTACCTGAACCATGTACTTGTCCCTGTTCACTGGGTCCTTCCTTCTGTCTTAGAGATCATCTAAAGCATACATTTGGGGGCGCCTGGGTGGCTCAGTGGGTTAAAGCCTTTGCCTTCAGCTCAGGTCATGATCCCAGGGTCCTGGGATTGAGTCCCGCATTGGGCTCTCTGCTCAGCAGGGAGCCTGATTCCCCCTCTCTCTGCCTGCCTCTCTCCCTGCTTGTGATCTATGCCTGTCAAATAAATAAATAAAATCTTTAAAGCACACATTTGCATTTGGGACTATCTCCTAACTCCCACAAAACAGAAAGTGGTCCTATAGCACCCCACTCCATAAATAACAAGCACAAACTTAAATGCAACATTTTGAGAGCCTGAGGAACAACAACAACAACAACAACAAAAAAAAAAAAAAAATGAAAAGAATGAGAAAAGGTTTCATGAAAAAAAAAAAATGACCTTCCAAGTGGATCTAAACTGATTTTAAGGACTTTTCTGAATACTGGACAAATAGCTCATAACCTACTCCATTCAGACTCCATTATGTTCCCTGAATTCCATCCACACCTTTGATACTCAGGTACAGAAGTCCCTTTCTCCTCACCCCTGGTTAACAGCCATGTGCCTAAATCCTGTGTGACTTTTAACGCCTGGCTTAAGTGCTTCCTACTCAAGGAAGCTTGCCTTGTTCTTCAAGGCAAAGACCATTCCATTCTGAGAGCAAGAGGAATCTGCTGAAAGCACGTGTCCATGTGTAACATGCTATCTCTGAATGTAGGTTCCACCGAGTGTGGGAACCAAGTCTCTTTACATGGTCTTATCTCCTGCACAATCATGGAGCCCAATAAATGAATGAACAGTCACAAAGCAGTGACAGCACACCCTCTGCTTTAAGACCTTATGCTGGGGGTGCGGAGGGGGTTACACACAATGAGACGACCCCTGACCTGAGCCGTTCACAGTGGAGGCGGGAGCTCCTGACATTATCTATCACACACAGGCAAGCATATGGTGCGTAGGTGAGAAACGGTCGTTACAGGCAATCATAAAGTTCTGGAAAAACTGGAGGCAGGTGGTTTTAGCTTGTAAATGTTTCCAAAAGAAGTAAATTTTTAACAGTGTCTGGGAGGAGGAAAGGGTTATAGACCTTTGCAGAGGAAGGGTCAGGGCATTTCAAGTAAACAGAAAAGACGGGAGGAGGAGGGACAGTTTAATCATGAACAGGTGAGTTGACAAGTGGTGCAGAGGCCCGGGCTGATGAGCAGTAGGGGCAGGGGCAGTGGGGAAAGTGAAGCCAGGTGGCTCCAAACATTTACAATCCAAAGCAACCCAGGGCTTTTCTTAGTATGCATTTCCACATGTAGCTTGGAAGGGGGAGGCATTCCTCCTCTGCTCCTCTCAGGTTTGAAGGAATGAGCTGAAGGAGGGAGTTTTTTTCTTGAGAATTCTGAAGAACCAGCAGAGGAAAACACCAAATGTGTTCATATGTTTATCCAACCACAAGTACTACTGAAAACTCGGACCACGTTCATTGTGACAAAAAAGCAGTCTTTGGTCCATGGCGATTTTATGGCTGAGTCATTTGTCCTCATTTTATAGCTCATCAAGCCTGAGAAGACCTTCCAGATCCGTCAGCTGGATACAGGACACACAGCTGAGCCTCTTTCAAAAATGCTGTCACCCCGGACTCACTGAGCTACTGAACATCCTTTTTGTGTGCTCCCCATTCACTTCCCATTCCCTTCCGGCTCAACGTACACATCACTGGCCAGGCTGCGTTGGCTCTACTGGTCTGTACTGGTAATTCTGCACCAGGGCGCTCTGTGCATTGTGGCATCAAAAGCATTTCATTTTTTTTCTTTCATCTGTAAATCTTCAGGTGTTTTTTTTTAGCCCTGAAGACTTCTCTTCCACACATAACTTAGGTTCTTCTTATCTTAAAGCTTTCCATGGTTGTGGGTTTTTTTCTGAATGGTTCTACAGTTCTCTTCTAACATAACCAGCTCAAAATGTAATTCAAATTTCTACTGACTTTTAAGAGATTTTTAACCTTAATATATCATTTTTCAAAGAGTAATATTCAAACCTTCACTGAACTGCCTAGATAATATAACAGTTGTTAAAAGGTAGCAACAAGAATACTTGGAATTATTCAGATTACCAGGCCATAAAAATAGATGGGCCGATGTCAGTTTCCATATTAACGATCTGACAAGGCCTACATGTTCTTTGAATAGACTCAATCATTAAAACTATGACCACAAAGAGAATTCAGAGAGATTCCATTTATGTTTTATTATTACAAGTATTCCCATTTTTTTTTTTAAAGATTTTATTTATTTATTTGACAGAGAGAGATCACAAGCAGGCAGAGAGGCAGGCAGAGAGAGAGGAGGAAGCAGGCTCCCTGCTGAGCAGAGAGCCCGATGCGGGGCTCGATCCCAGGACCCTGAGATCATGACCCGAGCCGAAGGCAGCGGCTTAACCCACTGAGCCACCCAGGCGCCCCCAAGTATTCCCACTTCTAATTCAAGTTAGGTTGTTTGGGCATGTGTGTCGGGGAAGGAACACCTCTTTGGTAAAATGGTTATCACAGAACATGACTCTGAGCAAACTCTCTGCAGGAAAAATCATGTTGATAAGACCAAACATTTCAGGCGCCCGGGTGGCTGGGTTGGTTAAGCCACTGCCTTCGGCTCGGGTCGTGATCCTGAAGTCCTGGGATCGAGTCCCCTAGGGAGTCTGCTTCTCCCTCTGACCTTCTCCCCTCTCATGCTCTCTCTCACTTTCTCTCTCAAATAAAAAAATAAAATCTAAAAAAAAAAAAAAAAAAAAGACCAAACGTCTCAAGACATATTTAAATAAATACAGAGCCTTTTATCTAATTTTCTAGAAGGCAATTCAAATTTGAATCAGGAATATTATTTTTTTAGTATTGCTTTATTACATGATTGCATTGAATCAAACTGTTTGGAATCCTAAACTTCCAAGTGAATACAAAGTACGAAGAAGAAAATGATCTACTACTTTGATTTCCTGATTTAATCCCTTTAAATTGGGTGCCAGCATAATTTTTGAAAAAGCTTTTTATGTTACTCCTGTATTTTGGCTAATTTTGTTCTCCAACTGAGAATGGCATATGTTCATTTGTTTTACTACTGCATGCATGCTGATGGGGCAAATAATAGAGCATTTATGGAAACATGGCCAATTCCTTGAGTGAGATACACTGAAAATGAGATTAACGCTATAAACACATCACCCTCTTTATTTAACTCTGCCTCAAAAAAGAAAAAAAAAGAAGCAATCCAAAGAACAGAGTGATTAACTTTGGTAGAATAACTCACAACACAGTGCTTTTTGTAGTCTTCGGATTTTGATGGCTGTGCGGTAGGCAGAGAAACGTACATTATTCAGGTCAGCTGAAATGGAAAAGGGAACACATTCAAAAGCATGCTTATTATTTAACTTCTATTGAATGGCAAGAACATGTTTGTTTACTTCAGATGATGGAAAAGCATTATGCCTGTTCTTACTAAAAAGGCTTCTCTCAAAATCCACAGCATTTATTTAAGAGAATAATGAAATGTTCATTAGCACCATAGTGAGATACATTCCAAAGTGGTGTTTCACAGCTTTCAAGAGGGCATTATCCAATAGGAAAAGGAGGGAAATGAGGAAAAGGAAACATGGCCTGTTAACTTCTGAAGGTTTAATAAATCCATCACTTTGCAGGCACAGGGCCCTTCCTTCTCCGCTGCTGGGAGGGACTCTCCTTCCAGGGAATCTTCCCCCAAGGACAATTAGTTTTCTGTCAATGAGGCTGTCCTTCTCACTACTCATAAAAGCTAGTCTTATTTCTTCCATCCCGATCTATTTGCTTCTTTCGCTCTTTTTATAGATATGGTTAAAGTTATCCCAAAATCTATATTCAGATCTTTAGAAACAGGGGGTTAAATGTAGTTAATAATACTGTATTGCATATTGAAAGTTGCTAAAGGAGTAGATCTTAAAAGTATCACAAGAATAAAAATGTTGTAAGGATGTGAGGTGATAGATGTTAAGTAGACTTATGATGGACAGTTTCATAATACAGTCAAATACTGAACCATTATATTATACGCCTATAATAACTAATATAATCTTATATGCCAATTATATTTCAGTTTAAAAAAAAAACACTTTGGTATCAAAGTTTGGTACCAAAAAAGATTTGGTATCAAGTTCAAAGAAAGATATTGTAATATCTTTCTCTGTGTCCTAAAGACAGAGTGTCTGTATTAGAGACTCTTTGAACTGGAAGCAAACTCAGAAATCATCCAAGTTTGTACCCTCACTTTACAAATGAAAGAAACCCCTGGCTTTTCTCTCACTTGTTCACCCTTTGTAGCCTACCCTCACCCATCCAAATGAAAGCTGAACAGATAGATGCCTGACCTTTAAAGAGATCAAGAGGAGTGCTCCCTTTCTGCTGGAGTGGGAGTGGGTGTGAGAGCCGTCAGGGGCTGCTCTCCCCTCCAACAGTGCCTTATCTACCCAAAGAGAAAACTCTCAAAACCGCTGGACCAACCTAAAGGAAGCAGGCTAGGTCAACAGTTCAAAGTCATAGTCTACCAGAAATCCACAAGTTCAGAATTCTCTCTAGCCTCCTCTGTTTTCTTACATTTTTCTATTAAAATTATTTTAGCTTTTCATCACGACTTTGGCAAAAAGAAACTAGGCAGTTCAATTTATTAAGATTAATTGAATAAAATGTGAGGTAACAGGAAATTTAAAGCGATGAATTAGAGGTTGCTTTGCTGTCACTGTTTTTGTCTTCAGGTAAAGCTGAAGTTTAAGATGACTCCATAGGGAGAATCTGCATTCCTCCTTTTAAAATCAACTTCTTGTGATTTCAAACCACACGCTCTCTCAAGAAGAATGGAAAAAAAACTGTTCCCTGCATTGCCCTCAGAAATTCAACTGCTTTTCTTTTTTTTTTTTTTTTAAAGATTTTATTTATTTATTTGACAGAGAGAGAGAGAGATCACAAGTAGTCAGAGAGAGAGAGAGGAGGAAGCAGGCTCCCCGCTGAGCAGAGAGCCCGATGCGGGGCTCAATCCCAGGACCCTGAGACCATGACCTGAGCTGAAGGCAGAGGCTTAACCCACTGAGCCACCCAGGTGCCCCTTCAACTGCTTTTCTATGTCAGTGACACCATCTTTTAAACATACCATGCCATGTAGGGAAAACTAGTGCTTAGTTTATAGTTAAGAATATACAATTATCGGGGCACCTGAGTGGCTCAGTCAGTTAAGCGTCTGACTTCAGCTCAGGTCATGATCTCAGGGTCCTGGGATAGAGTCCTGGATCGGGCTCCATGCTCAGTGAGGAGCCGGTATCTCCCTCTGCCTCTGCCTGCCATTCTTCCCTGCTTGTGCTCTATCCCTCTCTCTGACAAATAAATAAAATCTTAAAAAAAAAAAAAAAGAATATACAATTATCATTTGTTTAGGCTAATTAAATAAAATAGCACTCACCAAGGGACTGAAAGAGTTCAGTCATTTTAGGATGATCCCAACAGGTTGTCTGTGTTTGATGGCTGGGGGGGGGGGGGCAAAAAAGGTAGTATATTTAAATTAAGAACATACAAAATAATATAGATCACATAGAATGCATCATTCTGAAACCTGATGTCCAGTTATTACTTAATATTTGAAACAAAAATAATAAATTTTTATTTGAGCAATGATATTGTGAAAATATAGGTAAAAAACTTTGTTTTATCTCTCTCTAAAAGATTTACAACTACCCATTAAAACCCAGATATGAAGTGTGACCCTGGGGCATCAGGCTTGATGCACCCAGATCAATGTAGTTTCCAGAATAATTCTACTTGTGTTAGGCAGATATAGATCCTCATTCAGAATAAATCCTCTGAGAGCAGAAGTGCTGTAAAGAGTTGCTAAACTTTAGAAGTCCTAATGAAATTTCCAAAGAACTGAGAAATAAAAGAGTTTAACTCTGAATAACATCTTCACCCCACAATCGAGTGAGGCTCCCTCTTCTTTTTAACCTCCAGTCTCTCCTTCCTTGGTGTAAATTAGCCCTTCTCCCCTGTGGGGGCTCACTCAGAGCCCTAGAATTGATATAAAGATTACTTCAAGTTTAAGACATCTAAGATTGAACAGATGTAGAAAGAAGTCTTTTCCGAGTTTCCTTTATCTGACTAAATGCAGCAACTTCTGGGAAACAAGGCTACCATAAATCCTTTCTCTGGGGAATTTCGTGGCTATGAAGAAGACAGAAAAAGCACTTGCACCTGCATAAACAAACATTATCACAAACTTTCTTATCTCATGTTTATTCTCCTAAAAAAGCCATTTATCTTTCCTAAAGAAACCTATTGGGTCTTCACAAATGAGCCTTTTCTCCCCGACTTCTTTCCCCTGCTACGCTGGGTACATATGCCCCCCATTCTAACCATCCTTTCGAGTTATTCACCACTGCATGCAGAAACAAACGCTCCTCTCTTGCTAATCTGTCTTTTGTCAGCATAGTTCACAGACCCCTAGAAACTAAACCTAAGAGGGTGCAGGAAAAGTTGTTTTTCCTCCCCAACCCTCTCTTCCTGTGTATCTGGATTCTCTATTCCCTTTCTGCATGACTCTCTCTTGCCTATGTGATTCCGTGCTTCTCTCAGCAATCAGCCTCCCTGACAGTTAGCCAGTACTTTTTGATAGACATTGAACAGTTTTTCTTATGATGCTTATTCTTCACTTAAGAAGCGAATTTTATATTTTTCTCATTTTCTGTAAATTCCAAAACTAAGTCATAGAATTAAAAGTCTTTCGGGAGTAAGATGCAGGTAGAACAAATCCACTTAGTGCTTAAATTAGGTTCTGTGTGTGTGTGGGGGGGTGGTAAACAGCTCCTAACTTCAATGGGTTGGTGTCCTTATGTTTCAAAATAGTTTCCTGTCCCTTTCCTAGGTCAGAATAGAGTAATAACGTTTAATAGCACTCGAAAGACTTCTGGGATAACACTCAGTTCTTATAAAACTGTTTAGTAAGCTAAGTGAAATGGCACAGTACACAAGAGAGTGGTATTAAAATATTCATGCAATCAAATTTAAGAGAGATTATTTTTTTAACCTAGGTAATATATCAAAAATTGGGACATGTCACTTGGAATAGGATATAATCACTGTTACATACGCATTTATAACAGAGCCCCCCAAGAACTCATAATTTGCTTTGAAAAAAATTTAAAGATTAGTTATGAAATTGGGTATGCAAAATGTCCTGGAAATTCCAAAAATCTCACACAAATTAACATGCCTAAAAAGTGAAGGTCTATTCCAGGAGGAGCTGGAAAGTTGTCTAGCTCCCACACCTGGTTTTTGACACCAATGCAGAGGCAAAATGTTTCCACTTTCCATTCTGCTGCGGAACACCAACCAAACCATTCTACCATTTTCCCCTCCAAGTTGCTACAAAGACCACAGAGAAAGTACTGAGGCTGTCTGACCTAAAAGTCTTCCTTTTCATAATGTGACCCAGAGCTTGACAGAAATGCAGAATCTCCAACCTCTATCAGTTCTATTAAACCGGAATCTTCAGGTGAACAAAATCCCATGGGATTGATATGCCCGTTCACATGTGGGAAGTAACTGACCTAAAAAGCTTCTAAGGCATGAAGTAAAAAACAGAACAAAACTGAACAAAAACAAAACCCAAAATATAAAGACCCTCCAGATTTTGTTCATAAAACAACTTCCTCCCTATCATCAATAAGAATTACAGAAGGATTTGCTGGAAATAGAGTGTAGTTCAAAACAAATCCATCAGGAGCTCGCAGTGTGAGACAGACGACCAGTATTCCCACAACCCCTGTCGCTTTGGAGCCATCTGAATCCCCATGGCGACACTACTGTCCAGAGACAGACATCCCATCGTGAAGGACCAACTCAAAGCTCGAAAACCAAACCAAAGCTTTGAGGAACGCAGAGCCAAACTTTTATACCTAAACAACAAATGTAAGTACTCTTTCTCTCTCTAGAATCACAAATGTGGAGCTTTGGCAAGCAACTGCTGTGGAACCACAAGGGGAAAATGCCACTCGGCAACATGGCAGCAGCTGAGAATTCAATGAGAAGACCCGCTTGCTAATGGCTCTTTGGAGTGAAACCACTACGAGGAGCTGAGGGAACACACACATTTGGCAAACAGATGGAGGGAGGGAAAAGGCATCTCCCTTTGTGAATTCAATACCAGTTGATTCATTAGGCAGAACTGCCAGCGCTGAAAATAAACACAGCCTCTGGTTACAGAAGTGTCAGTGCAGCTTACCAAACAACAGTTAAAAAAAAAAAAAAAAAAAAGTAATAGATGCAGTTGGCTGTTGGATTTTCTTTTCTTCTCTTCTCTCTCTCCTCTCTCTCTCTGTCTCTCTTTTTAGAGGGGCGAGGTTTTTAAAGCAAAATCCACAATCAACCCGAAGAAGGCTCTAAGTATTTGAACAGCTGCACATGGCTCAGGTCATCCAGCCCAAATGCCTGCAAGTCCTCCCAGAGTGGGCAACCAACACAGAACTGAAAGCAGCATTCTCCGAACCCCCACCCCCACCCCACAAATAACAACAGCTCAGCTTCTGGCCAACCTCATATCTGAAAGGGGACAGAACCTCATACTGTGCAGCTTGATAAACTATTAAAAAAATCTAACAAAGCAGCACTCAACAGGAAATGCAAAATCCTATGAAGCAAGCGATAGGGAGAGCGTGTGATATGCGGAAGTAGGGTGCTGAGCTGTGCTAGGTGTGGTGTGCTTGTGAAGGGGAAGGGGAAAACAAAGGCAGCTTCTCTTGCAGGCCAAAAGGTTACTGGGTCTCTGAGCTATTTTAAACTCTGGAAACTGAAAAAAACAATAGCAACGCAAATGTTCTTTCTCCATCGAAATGCAAACTGTGTCCACTGGGATGCAGCTGATGACTGTCCTGTGGACGCAGACCAGTCAACCAGCTTTGCACCCAGGGGCAGACTCCGTTTTAGCAACTCTTATTTGACTCTAAAGATGCAGTTCTTTGCATTCTCCTGGGAGCCTCTTATAACTTCTTACCCATTCCGTGATTAGTGAGTTAAATGAAATCTTTGATGCGTGCTCTTTCTATATGCCACGAGACTCAAGATTTCCCCTAATTTTTATTCACTTATTTGAATTTCTAACTTTTTAATTATTTTTTAAGATTTTATTTATTTATTTGACAGAGAGAAATCACAAGTAGGCAGAGAGGCAGGCAGAGAGAGAGGAGGAAGCAGGCTCCCTGCTGAGCAGAGAGCCCAATGCGGGGCTTGATCCCAGGACCCTGGGATCATGACCTGAGCCGAAGGCAGAGGCTTAACCCACTGAGCCACCCAGGCGCCTTAATTTTTTAATTTTTTATTGAGGTGTAACACAGTGTAAGTTTAAGATGTATAACATGTTGGTTTGACACATTTATACAATCCAGTAGGATCACCATGGTTGTGTTAGCTAACCCCTCTATCCCATCACATAATTATCATTTCTGTTTTGTGGAAAAAATATTTAAAATCCAGTGTTCTAGCAACTTTGAAGTCTGAAACATAGTACTGTTGTAGGTAATCACTGTGCTGTGCATGAGATCTCTGTTAACTGTTTTTTTTTTTTTAAACATCCTTTAATGCCTTGGACAGTTCTGGTTCCTATTTGCTATCCCATATACTTATTAAAAGAGAACCCCGTTAAGTGTCCAGCTGAGATAACATGTGCTCCCTGTATTATACGGAATTTGATGAAATGCTGAACCAGTACGGTTAATAAGTGATACATGCTTCTACCTATTATTATTTGTAATGTATTCTGAAGAGCCCAGAAAGGAAGACACAAATAAGCTTGTACACTGATGGCTAGAACACAAAAATGTGTAAAACAACATGGTCCAATATATGAGACAATGAACTGACAGCAAAGTACATGTGATTTTGATAGATTGATAAGAAACTGATTTCTGGGCAATAGACTGCCCTGGGGAAGAAACCTTTTAATCCCATTTGTCCTCACTAGAGCGGCCTCATTTTCTTCCATACAACCTTAAAAGATGGCAAGAAGGCACCCTCCTTACCCCAAAACTGACACTTAGTTAAACACATTTACTTGTTACTCATCTACTCAATTTTGTGCTTGAAACTGGATTTTGAGTTTTGCATGTGTTGTTTCATTTCAATTGCAATTCTAAGGGCATATAAGAGAAAAAAATTAAAAGTGAGTCAGTTAATTAAAAAATACAAGTGAGAGAAAAAGAACGACCCATATTGTTCAGGGATAAGATGATCACGGGAAGAGAAATATTTCTTCTTCGCTGTGCATAGTGAAAGATGACACAGTAGGTCAGGATACACAAGATTAATTACAGTAATAGCCTATTATTTGACTGTCTGGTCTATACCAGGGGTTCTTCCAAACACTTTCCTTGTGTAAACTCAACCTGCATAAAAACTCAATGAGTTGGGTGCCAACAGTATCCCTGTTTTACGGATGAATGCATTAGGGCCGGGAGGGCACTTAGATGACTTGCTCAAGG